CAATGGGAGATTCATGCTGACGCTGCTTCCGAGGTAATCTTCTTCGTTCGAGTCAAGAAAACTCGAACGATATTGCCTAGGAAACAGCGTCAACAAGAATATTTTAGCAATGTTAATTGGCAGTTGATCAAGCGGAATCCACGGTGGACTTCTGGTGGAGTAGACCCTCGACTTTCTTCACCAAATAAGTTCACTCGAGATGTAAGTGAGCCCAATAATTATAGGCAAAGGGACTCGTCGAAACCCAACTTTTATTCGCAAATGAAAGTTAATTATAGTATAAAATCCAAGTTAAATCGGCAACTTTGAGCGATTGACGAGAGCTGGTCTACACAATTCAGAATATCATCGTTAAGACAGATCTTGCATGCATTAGCATAGTCCTGGAAAGTCAATCTTCGGCCACAGGAACACAAGCCACAGTTGTGCCACCAGTAGCGAAATAAATTACCTTTTATTGAACCATAGGCACAGCCCAATACGAAACCTATCGTGAAGGAACGAATGCAAGTGTAAACAATGTGGTACCAAACAGCTGAAGGAGACTCCAACCGAAATGCATCAAATGGCTGTCTGTACGGGTCACTATAAAATGATACATTTTAAGCGGGTCTGAACGTACCAGAAATACGGAGGAAAAGGTGCCGACTATGAAACCGGCAAGAACATCTGATGGATGGTGCTTGTAGTCAGAGACGCGAGACAGGCCGATATAGAAGGCGGTGGAGAGCATGATGAACTGTACAGCAACACGAAGAATCATGAAGTATGGAATATTAAGTCGGGACTGGACGTAGAGCTGGCCGGATACAAAAGACAGTGGAGTAAAAAAAAATAATGAAGAGTAGTTAGGATTGCAAGTCGCAATTTAGTCGAGTAATTAGATAATAAATTGAAACATATGAAACAGGAAGATGCTGGACATTTCGATGAGTCGGGGGCATGTTAGTCAATTTCGCCGCAGGAAGATGTCATTTATACTCTCCCATCGCACCCAGAAACCGAGTCTTTCCCTTCGTTTCCGCGAGCACTGGATCAAATGTTGGAGTAGATTTCATTTCGTTTGAAGAGGCTAATGGAAGGGATTCGTAAGTTAGTTCCACCGGAGGCTGTGAGGGTTGCCTAGGAGCAGTGGTTGTAGATTTGGGCGAATAGGTCCTCGAAGCACCGTCCTGCGACTCTAATCAATCCTTGCTGAACTTTCGTCTGCTATGCGATAGGCTTCGTCAGAGCAGGACATCGTGCTTAACGACAATTCACAAGAAAGTTGGCCGGCTTCCAACTTGGTTCACTTAATGAGGCATCTCATGTTTTGGTTTTCCGAACACAAAACAGCCTGGAAGGTTGTGGCTCCAAAAATCGGAATTGGCCAATAAAATTGCTCGTACACGACACGTATGTAAGTAGAGTTTCGAGGCTACCAGTAAATCGGTAGTAAAAGATGTATTCACCCTATTTCGTGTAAGGTGATGAAGAACTGGTAGTAGAATTATCCCACAATGCTATGAGTAGAGCTGACGTTTCCTGTGAATTTCACAAAAACTCGCTATCCCAAAAGTTGCTCTTATCCCTTGCTCGAGTGAACTGCAGTTTCGACCTCGCCTCGGTCGTATCAACAACCCGAGCGGGAGTCGAACCGTGACTGCAGAATGTGAGTCATATTGCCACGAGTGCCCTTTGGTCTTGGGGCAGAAGGCCAAGCCTTTTGCCATATCACATTCTTTGGTGGGATTTCCGATGAAGCAAACATATTTTTGCTGTAACAATCAACTACGTTACTTAATTTTCGTATGTAATTAGAGTTTCGAGACTACCAGCAAATCAGTAATATGAAATGTATTCTGGTGAATTATCGTTAGGCCTGGCAAAGATTCGTCGTGGTCGCACAAATCTACAATCACAGGTCCAGGGCAACCCACCCATAGTCTCCAACATGAATCTATTGAGGGATTCTTAGAAAGACAGTTTTTCTTCGCACTAGCTCGAAATGTTTTTATGGACCCTGTTTGCAGCCCTTCCTCCAAAACTTCCTAATTTGTCCAATCTTGGGCATTCCTTTCAAGCGTATAGTTGAGTTTTAGCAATTTAGACGACGTTAATTTCGCATAAAAATACTTACGCAATCTCGGTTATGCATTTCCTGGGGTCATTAAGCCTTGACCTTTGCCTCTTTCGTAAAAACTCTGAGCTATGGGCAGTATTGCATACTCTGATTAACACACACACAAAGATACACAACCAAGAACAAGCAAACTGATTAGGATATGGAAGAGAACTAACCTAATCATCATATATCAATCCTTTTTTCTTTTTTACTTATTAGTAGATACGAAGAGAAACTTGGTTTCGATGGATCTCCTGAGATAACATTGTTAGGGGGAACTTCATTTCGAAT